TAATTTTTAAAGATTTTATTATTTTTTATTAATAAAATTTTTAATAATTTTAATTTTTTTCTAATTGCAGATTCTTTTTAAATACAGGTCAAAGCAAAGTAAAAAATTTAGCTTAAGAAGTATGTGTGCACTTATATGATCACATGATTTTTTCATATTAAAATAAGAAAATTTCATGTGCAATCCGCACATGCACATATCGAATTTTTCACTTTGGGTCAAAGTATTGGTCCTGGAAATATACACTTAGAGGGAGTTGACTATATTTAATTAAATTTAAAACAAACTAATTTCTAAATTTAAAAATCTTGTATATATCTATTATAAAGCTAAGCCTTATCATTAAAATTTTCTTCTGATTTTAATATCTAATACAGGTTGGTTTGTTAACTAAAGCACCAATTGGTGTGTTATATGGTGTAGAATCATTATTGCTAAAACGATCGTATATTTATATTCTACTTCATATATCTGAAAATAAAAAGTATAAACAATGCTAATTTTTTGAAAAAAGTAAGCCAAAATATTTACTTTTTGTCAAAAATTTTAATAAAGTTGGCGAAATATAAGAGAAAGAAAAAAAAAACTTGAAATTACTAAAAGAGTGTAAGTTTTCTTTTACTAGAATCAACAGACACCTAAACCTGCACAGTACTAAGTTTTTCTGGTGAGTAATAAACTTCAAACTTGTCAGCAAGTAGCATATAAGAACTACTTCTAAATGACAAGTATTATATTTGCAGTAAGTGATAAACTCTGAGGCTGTTAGCAAGTAGCATATGAGAACTACCTCTAAATAACAGCTGCTAAATTATAGTTTCTTTTCCTATATCTTATAGTATATAAAAGTCAATAACTATACTCTAATATACTGTGTTTTTTTTCTAGTAAATAATTTTTTTGAAAAATATAATTCAAGTAATTATCAAAAAAAGTTTTTTGTTAAAGATTTAATGTTTTTCAATATTTCCAAAAATATTTAAAAAAAATTTAAAAACACTAGATTTAAAATTTATGCTTCTTTTCAGAAACAAAATAGTAATATAAAGTTATAATTTATGTTTCTAAAGAGAGAGATAGAATATATTTTTATTATAAAAACATTAAAAAATTCAAATCTTTTTTACTGATAACAACTAACATGTAGTATATTCTTATTTTATAAGAATAAGGTATAATAAAATTTGAAATAATTATGCAAAAATAGATCACTAAAAATTTTAACATACAAATTTTACACTATATAAAAACAATTATTATTTCTTAACTGTTAAATAAATTAAACTTGATAAAAAGGTTACAATCTACTTTGATTTTTTATTTTTCTTTGTTTCTCCTTTAATCAAATTAAATTTCTGTCCACCAACAGATTCTGCTCTTGATGTTATAACTTGCTCAATATTTCTGTTTATAACTGCTGTTAATTTCTGGTGTTGGTAATATCAATATATATATTATTATTAAACTTTTAAGCATTACATAATTACGAATAACATCTTTTAAAGAAAAAAAAACCCCAACTTTTTGCATGGCTTTTTGTTTGATTACAGATTGTCTTTTTGGTGCTATTGTCTTCGCTGTTTTTATGAAATCAAAAAAGAAATAAATCATGACGTCGATAAGTTCAAAAAAGCGAAAAAAAAAACTAGCCTCCTTTCTTTAGCCTGAGCTCGTTAGTTTTTTTATTAGACTTTCTGGAGTTTGTATTTGACACTTTGAACTTTCCTTGGCCTTGCACCATATTTTTTCAATCGCTGTTAGCTGATCAAAAATCAAAAATATTTGTGATACAAAATTTTCTGTGGCGTTCATTTAAAAAAGATCTAGACAGTGTTTTTTCACGTGACAATAACGTAGAAGATTCTTTTGTACGTACGTACGTACGTTTTCTCACTCTATTCACTTTAGATCAATCAGAAAAATGGCATTACGTGTTCCAAAGAGTAGTTATCCTCAGTTATTTAAGGATGGCTATAAGGTTCGTGTTTAAATTTAAGCATAAGTAAAAAAAAAGCTTAATGTCAGTGTTTCTACGCTTTAAATGTGCTTAATAATGGCTCAGAATACGGACGCGATATTGATCTATGAGTATTATTTTATTTTATTTATTTTTTTAAATTTATATTTAGAACCTTCAAGGCGTTGACGAAGCTGTACTTAAAAATATTCAAGCTATACATGAGCTATCAGAAATCGTTAGAACTTCTTTTGGTCCCAATGGTATTTTATTTCATAACTTGATAACTAAAGCTGATTACAGAGGGAATATTTCTAAAGCTTTGAATATAACATGATAGGGAGGAACAAAATGGTGATCAACCATCTTGAAAAGCTTTTTGTTACTAACGACGCCGCCACAATTATCCGTGAATTAGAAGTCGTGCATCCAGCAGCAAAATTATTGGTAATGGCAAGTCATCAGCAAGAACAAGAGGTAATAAATCGATCTCACTTTAATATTCATTTAATTACTATTTCCTTAAGGATCTGCTGAATAAAAAAAATGTCACTCGTATGATTACATGGACAACGTCTAAACATATATATATGGCGACAGAATAGGTTTCGAAGCGCAGACATATTAAACCATTTATATAGCATATACTTAAATTGTGTGAAGGAATATTTTTAATGATCAAAAAAGTAATTCTCTAGGTTGGTGACGCGACAAATTTTGTTATAATCTTTGCCGGCGAGTTACTACAAAAAGCTGAATATCTATTACGCATGGGGCTTCATCCAAGTGAAATCGTGCAAGGCTATGAGCTTGCAAGGGACAAAGTATTGGAGATTTTGGAAGGTTAATCACAAGCTTTCTTTTTATATTTCTTAATTAGTGTATCTTTTCAAATTTTCTAATAAACTAATTGATATGAATTTATAGAACTCTGTGTAGAAACAATAAAAGATCAGAAATCAAAACCAGAGCTTTTAAAAGCTGTCAAGTCGGCTATTGCCTCTAAGCAATATGGAAATGAAGATTTACTTGCCGATTTAGTCGTCGACTCTGCGCTTTCAATTATGCCAAAAAATCCTGCAAACTTCAATGTGGACAATATTCGGGTGGTTAAAATAATGGGTAGCAGTATTTATGAAAGCAAAGTGGTTAATGGCATGGTATTTGGTCGTGAACCTGAGGGTGTTGTTCATAAGGCGCATAAGGCCAAAATTGGAATTTTCACTTGTTCTTTAGACCTTTCACAAACGGAAACAAAAGGAACTGTTTTGCTTCACAGTGCACAAGAAATGTTGAATTTTACTAAAGGTGAAGAACAGCATATGGAAAAAGTATTTATCATTTATTACAATTGTAAAACCAGGTGTTTTTTATTTACACAGTTTTATATTTACTAATACAATATTATCGTTTTTACTATATAATAATAAATTAGGTTTTTAAAGAATTAGCTGAGGCTGGGATAAATGTCGTTGTCACTGGTTCTGGATTAGGTGAATTGGCCTTACATTATTTAAATAGACACAATATAATGGTCGTAAAAGTTTTATCAAAGTTTGATTTACGTCGGTTGTGCAGAGTTGTTGGTGCTACGGCACTGGCTAGATTGGGTCCTCCTACTGCTGAAGAAATGGGATTCTGTGATATTGTCGAAACTGTTGAGATAGGTGGTGATAGGGTTACAGTATTTAGACAAGGTATTAAATTTTAAATAATTAGCATAAATTAAACAAAATATACGATTAATTCATCGACAAAATCATGAATTATAGAGAATGAAATTTCGAGAACTGCTACTATCGTAGTTCGTGGTGCGACTCAAAACTTTCTTGATGACGCTGAACGTGCTATTGATGATGGTGTTAATATCGTAAAAGCGGTCACCAGAGATGGGCGTCTCGTCGCTGGTGCTGGTGCTACTGAAATGGAATTGCTCAAACGTTTACTCTCTTTTGGAGAGGTAACATTCACATATTATTATACACTTTTGAGGACACGCGTTATGCTTTATATATGATAAAATTCTTTTATATTTATTGCAATATATTTTAACATTGAAAAATCTAGAAAACTCCTGGTATCAATCAACATTCAATAAAATCTTATGCAGAGGCGTTTGAAGTATTTCCACGCACTCTAGCGGAAAATGCAGGATTAGATGCTACACAAATTCTTTCGAAACTTTATGCAGCTCATCATCAAGATGATAGTGGTGTGATTGGTGTTGATATCGAAAGCGATACTGAAAATAGTACTTTGGATGCTTTTAAGGCTGGCATTTATGACTGTTTTATAGCTAAAAGTTGGGCTATTAAATTTGCTACAGATGCCGCTTTAACAGTCTTGAGAGTAGATCAGGTTTGTAAAGTTTCTAATTATTTTGATGTGACATTATTGAGTCTTAATTTGTGCTTTAACACTTTTACTTTTTGTGATATAGATTATTATGAGTAAGCCAGCAGGTGGACCAAAACCTCCACAACAAAATCCAAATTGGGACGAAGATTAGGAATTATTTTATAGTGCTAGGGCATTTTAGCCAATTAAAATTTAAGACCAGGTGTACCGTGTAGATCAGCTTTGTGACAAAAATAAAGAATTTTTTAAAAAATTAATTATATCTCTAAAAACCACTTTTTAGGTTCTAATGAAAAAAAATTCCTTATAAAATTTTGGTATAAACTATACTTAATTATAAAGTTTTTATTTTTATTAAAAGAGAAATTGGTTTGATTTATATATTACACTGATTTATAATTATATGTAGGTTAGCTATAGCACTATAATAAT